TGCAGGCGTCCACAGCATCCATGTGGCTAGGACCTAACTTTAAAAAATCAACGCAAACTGCTTTCCCCGATTTTTCCAAAATGCTTTGGGGACAAAGAAAAGAAGGAGGAGAGATAAGGATGATAGATATTTGATTTTTTAAAAAGGACAGATGACGATGATAGATATTTGATTTTTTAAAAAGGACAGATGACGATGATAGATATTTGATAAAAATGAAGGAGGAAGACAGATAACGATGATAGATATTTGATTTTTAAAAAAGAAGGAAGACAGATAAGGATGATAGATATTTGATAAAAAAGGACAGAGATAAGAATGATAGATATTTGATTTTTAAAAAAGGACAGATAACGATGATAGATATTTGATTTCAAAAAAAGAAGGAAGACAAATAAGGATGATAGATATTTGATTAAAAAAGGAGGAGCAAACCACACCACAGCACCCACAAATCACCAAACGTTTTCAGCGAACTACGGCTGATCATCTCAACAAATAACTTCCCAACAAAATTTTTAAAAAACAAAAAAACCACAACCCCCACAAACAAACAAAATAGTAGAGGTTTTACGGCGCTCGCAACTGCATAAGGTCAAATGAGCGCCAGAAGATTAGAGGTGTTACAAGAAAGTAACAAACATAAAAAAAGAAGAAGGGGAGATAAGGACGATAGATGTTTGATAGGAAAGAAGAAGCAAACCACACCAGAGCACCCGCCAACCACCCACTAAACCAAATGAAAGAGAGAAGCGAGAGTAGAGTCATAGTATGTATGTATGTTTATTTAAGGACTAACTAAGTAGACATGACAGTAACTGTAGAAACGACACCAGCTGGAAAAAAAGAACCAATAATAATAAATTATTGAAACGTCTTCAAAAATCCTGACTGAAAAACAAACAAAAAAAAACAAACAAACAAAAAAAACAACCAAACAATCAATCAAATCATTATGTATGTAACAATGAGTAGTACCGTAGTCTCTATCATGACTTCTTCTTTTTTTTTTGTTTGTTTCATCAACGCTACCAGAAATTCTTTCTTCAAATAACCACCAAGCACGACAAACGTCGTAACACATGACATACACATATATATATATATAAATGTATGAAGAATGAACAATGAATGAACAATTCCAACAGATAGAAAGAAACAAAGATAAACAAAGCACTATAATAAAGAACATGAAATTTTTATACGTATACGGCACGGGTACGGCCACCCTTCAATGAGTCGAGTCCTTCAAAAACTCACAGACGATGATGAATGATATAACATACAAAATGCACATACATGTATACAGAATTTATATATATATAATCATAATAGCAAATGTATGATGTAAAGGAGGAAAAAATGCAAAGGTGTACGCACATACGTGAAGGAAGTATACACAAACAAATCTCATTTCATATTTTTAAAAAACAAACAAAAAAACAACCAGTAAAAAAACCCAAATGAGCCAAGATCAAATGTACAAACTCGCATGACCTATCTTTATACACGTCGCGTCGGGTACCCATGAATGGATGATGTGGTCGGTGAATGGATGATGTGGTCGATGAATGGATGATGTGGTCGGTGAATGGATGATGTGGTCGGTGAATGGATGATGTGGTCGGTGAATGGATGATGTGGTCGGTGAATAGATGATGTGGTCGGTGAATGGATGATGTG